GAGATCTGCGTTTTTATAGCCACTACCACGAGTTACGGATGCCATATTTTGCACATGTATTTTGCTTTACTGTTCTTCCTTGACATTTTTGAACAAGTGTGAAAACAATGCCGTTTAAGACATTGCAAATCGACAATGGCTGCGCTTTGACGCACCGCTTGTCGAATACCAGGCCACCAACATTTTCCAATAACATATATTTAATTTATATTCCGAATTTTTTGTGTAGTCAGGTTCAATGAACTACATGTACATACTACCTGTGCGGTCTTTTTTTTAAAGAGTGTATCTTGTACCTTTCCTCACGCAACCATCAAACTACGCTGTAAATGTACAGTGCAATTTCAAGCAATTGTTCAGTCAATACTGTACTTACCTTTTAATCTAATTGTAAATGGTAATCGTTATTGACAAATATAACGACATGAGTAGACATGAGTACAAACATGGCGGCACTTCCCGGTTACATCAAAATGTGCTGATCAAAGTCTGATGAAGCGCCGCGGATGATCAAAGCCGCGTGATGCTATTCACAACACCATAGCATTGAATTAACAAGATTAAGGAAAGATTGCTGTTTTCGTCAAGATGGCGATTAAATTAAAATGAACTTCGGAAGTAACGCGATTACAGGATGCACATACTGGAACTACCGGAACATTAGGATTCATCCCATCAGACTCGCAAAGTGCGCTCACTTCAAGCCATCAGCAGCAGAAACTCATTCTCCAATAAAGTAAATAATGTTTTACACCAATATACAAGGCTATCGGATGAAGGCAAACAGGTGGAGCTGTGTTGGATCCCGTCCCACGTAGATATTTCATGGAGGAAAAAGCAGACACACCAGCGTGTCAAGTCTAATCGGACGCAAGTAAGATCGGCAGATTTCTATACAAAATTATAACGAAAATTCACAAAAAACCATACTCATACTCAAATGAAAGGAAAGTTGAAGAATTGCAGTCAGATCAGTTGTCTGGACTAGATCTCTTTATGCGATGCAGAAGCGAGGCCAGCCTCTCGAACGTATACAAACAGAGCAGCCACAGAAATTATAAAAAAATTTCTTTAAATGAATAATCAGATCATATCGAAACGAAAATAGAAATCTTATCAACACTTAAACACCCAATAGATATGTGTATCCTGCTCGTGCAATGAGTCCCAAAGAGGGGCAGGTCAACCGCAATTGCTATTACAGTTTGCACCATGTCACAGATTGGTGATCGCGAGCAATTTAGTGAAGAACACGAAGCAAGAAATGCGACGCGGCACAGGCTGTGGATTCTGGAATAAAGTCAAAACAAGACATCACTTGCAACATTGTCTAACTTAGATTCATCCACAGAAGGCAGTGGCTTTAACTTCAAACAAACATCAATCGATGACTTTTTTCGTCAACAAACATAATTCAAGACTATGTCCCAATATCTCTTTGCTATATCATCCACACCCGGGCTTTCATCACTCAGGACAAATAACGAATATGATCGTGAATAAAAATGCTGCCATGAAATAATAGAAGTATTATTATTCCCAAGGTATGCCAATATTGTAAACCGCATACATCACATACAAATCGATTACCAGTAATTAACTGACGCAGTATGTCTCCCCTTTCAGTGTTCTCTACATTGTTATCATGTATCAGTCACAATGGAAACGTTCAATGCACAGCAGGAGCAAACTGTGCTGTAGTACTTTGCCGCAATGGCATTGATCATCCACAACTGGCTCCAACAGGATATATCGCTTGGGTGAGATCAAGTGATATCTTACATTGTAGATATCGCTGCAATGAAATTGGTTACTATAGTTTTAAATTATCATAAGTCATAATGTGATTTTGCATCCATAAGTTCCCTTGCCTCATGGCTGGTCACAAATATTACCGACGAACACCGTGTGTTATAACTGAACACATGTACATGCACGTGAAGTCATGCATGCGTATATAATAAAACAAGATGATGGTAAATGACAGCGACAAAACCTTTTCCCCAACCATAAGATTCCCACTGTATCATTAGCATGTAGTTGTGAATCAACATTATCATCAATTCTTTGAGAGTTGATATTGAATTAAAATATACATAAATCGGACCGCTTATCTCGAATTCGAGATAAAAATACATTGCGCTATCTTGAAACATTGGACTCGGTCCCAATTATTGACTTTACTAAAGAATTGGATACCTTTATCTCGATGTTGGCATTTGCCACAACAACAGTTTTGAAAAGCGCAAATTAGCAGCTCACACAGCGGTGAGCAATTCTCCTTGACACACACTCGTAAAAAAAGGAGATGCACAGGTAGTTTATAGTAAATTTATTGTACCTAATAAAGTCAATGTATTTAATTTAATATCATAGATACAAATATAAAATTTTGGAGCTCGATAGTCTCATGTTGGCGTTGTACAATGGCACTGAAAACTGTTCATTGTCATGTAACATAAGGCCTCAAGGTGGCGCTGAACTCAGTCTCTCGTGTGACCGCCCCGAGCAGCAATCACGGCTCTGCATCTCCTCGGCACTGACTGGATAAATGTACGAATTCGGTCGTGCGGAATTCTGCGCTATTCTGCTTGTAACGCGTTGGCCAGTTGTGGAAGTGTCTACGGTGTGTTCTGACGTTGACGTACACGTCGATCGAGTTCATCCCAGAGGTGTTCGATTGGGTTGAGATCTGCGTTTTTATAGCCACTACCACGAGTTATGAATGCCATAACTTGCACGTGTATTTTGCTTTACTGTTTTCTTCCTTGACATTTTTGAACAAGTGTGAAAACAATGCCGTTTAAGACATTGCAAATCGACAATGGCTGCGCTTTGACGCACCGTTTGTCGAATATCAGGCCACCAACATTTTCCAATAACACATATTCAATTTATATTCCGGATTTTTTGTGTAGTCAGGTTCAATGAACTACATACTACCTGTGCGGGTTTTTTTAAAGAGTGCATCTAGTACCTTTCCTCACGCAACCATCAAACTACGCTGTAAATGTACAGTGCAATTTCAAGCAATTGTTCAGTCAATACTGTACTTACCTTTTAATCTAATTGTACATGGTAATCGTTATTGACAAATATAACGACATGAGTAGACATGAGTACAAACATGGCGGCACTTCCCGGTTACATCAAAATGTGCTGATAAAAGTCTGATGAAGGGCCGCAGATGATCAAAGCCGCGTGATGCTATTCACAACACCATAGCATTGAATTAACAAGATTAAGGAAAGATTGCTGTTTTCGTCAAGATGGCGATTAAATTAAAATGAACTTCGGATGTAACGCGATTACAGGATGCACATACTGGAACTACCGGAACATTAGGATTCATCCCATCAGACTCGCAAAGTGCGCTCACTTCAAGCCATCAGCAGCAGAAACTCATTCTCAAATGAAGTCACTAATGTTTTACACCAATATACAAGACTATCGGATGAAGGCAAACAGGTGGAGCTGTGTTTGATCCCGTCCCACGTAGATATTTCATGGAGGAAAAAGCAGACACACCAGCGTGTCAAGTCTAATCGGACGCAAGTAAGATCGGCAGATTTCTATACAAAATTTCAACGAAAATTCACAAAAAACCATACTCATACTCAAATGAAAGGAAAGTTGAAGAATTGCAGTCAGATCAGTTGTCTGGACTAGCTCTCTTTATGCGATGCAGAAACGAGGCCAGCCTCTCGAACGTATACAAACAGAGCAGCCACAGATATTATAAAAAAAAATCTTTAAATGAATAATCAGATCATATCGAAACGAAAATAGAAATCTTATCAACACTTAAACACCCAATAGATATGTGTATCCTGCTCGTGCAATGAGTCCAAAAGAGGGGCAGGTCAACTGCAATTGCTATTACAGTTTGCACTATGTCACAGATTGGTTATCGCGAGCAATTTAGTGAAGAACACGAAGCAGAAAAAATACGACGCGGTACAGGCTCTGGATTCTGGAATAAAGTCAAAACAAGACATCACCTGCAACATTGTCTAACTAAGATTTATCCACAGAAGGCATTAACTTCAAACAAACATCAATCGATGACTTTTTTCGTCAACAAACATAATTCAAGACGGTGTCCCAATATCTCTTTGCTATATCATCCACACCCGGGCTTTCATCACTCAGGACAAATAACGAATATGATCGTGAAAAAAATGCTGCCATGAAACTTCAAGGCGATCGACTTCACGAATTGAAAATTAATGCATGTGATTGCGCGATAAGCTGTGATAATACATCATTAGTCAAATCAATCAATTTAAGGATTCAATTAAACGAAGGATATAGAACTAATCAAATGAATCAGTTTAAAAATAACTAACAAAGATTCGCCAGGTAGAACCTGGCTAATAAATTGCCGTTCACAGAAACATGTCATACTTTTATAATGTCATACATACATACTTTATACATTGATTTCCGCAGTTCCGAAAACAATATTCCTAATTTCGCAAGTGAAGTATAACAGTATGATAATGCTAATAAGTACACACTTATTTACTTTTGTTGTATCTGAAAAGTGTTGATTTTGCCTTTCAATCATGTTACATTTATGATCAAACTCAATTATATCACCTGGATATATCGACGTTATACAGCTGAGGGTCTTACCATGAAAAGCAAATTTAATTGTTTTTACTTCGTTAGCAGTTGCTTCCCGATTTGGTAAACACCAAATACAAGAACGTACGTTGTCGCTTATTTGTTTTCAGAATAATTCATAGACAAATTCAAATGTTTGTGCTGACACGGTATGGTACGATAGGTATCGATTGCAAGTATGGCTTTTAATACATACAACTGTCCGCCCGTGCCAATCCTCAGACGTGTACCATAAACAAACTCTGTTATGCAGTGAAAACATAAAAACACATGAAGCTTTTAAGCACAAAGAATACAAGCTCGGCACAATAGTGTCTTCAAGCATGCAGACGACGGGGAATGTTTGTGAACTAATTAGCTTTCCATTATTATCTGGAGACTTGGGGCGTGGAGATACACGTTTTTAACGATGCTGTAACGTCATGAGAAAGGGATACAATGTCTCGGGATCTGATGTCAATATTCAGTCAACCTCTGGTTATCTGTAGGTTAGTTGAGTGTTGGTCTTGGCGGTAGTTGGAGCTTGGCAAGCAGTCGCTGAGGTAAGTAAAGGCATAGCGTTTGGATTTGCTTAGTTTGTGCTTATGATTCTTTGTTTAGCATCTCATTGTTAAATTAATTTATAATCCAAAAACAGGCTTTTACAGACGATAGCTCTAAAATAAAATTGCGCCACAATGATTTGAGGATCATTATGACGTCATCGCTTACTACTATGTCACAACCAAATGATATCACATATATATCTGCCACTAAAATTGGTCACTTTATTTATTGCAATCAAGACAATGGATATTACTGTTTACCAACCCAAGAAGTTGAAAGAATGAAACAAATAACTCATCTTCATGTCTTGTGATATGAAATATATCAACGTCAGTCGATAAAAGTTTATGAATTCAAACTGATATGTCTAATTACATTATTCGTGTAATGAAGCTCTCGCAATTGTCAGTCAAGCAACATGACTGACCAATCAGAAGACCGAAGTGATACTACGTCTTTTTGCTGGACGTCTTTAAACCTTTCCGACCTTTATGAAAGTAACAGATGTTTAAACATATATTCGACAATACCACACATAAACATCAATATCTCCGGAAACGTAATATTATTCATTATTAGAAGTATACAGATTTGTTTAAAACAAATACCCACACATGTTGATGACTCATTCGCCCCTATTGTTTGGGGCGAGGATAACTCCGCCGAGAGAGAGAGAGAGAGAGAGAGAGAGAGAGAGAGAGAGAGAGAGAGAGAGAGAGAGAGAGAGAGAGAGAGAGAGAGAGAGAGAGATTCATAAACACATCGTTTTTATTAATAGCAACAAAATCAGTAAATGCACCTACTTGTGACTTGATTTTCCGATTCAGGGACCACATGGTTTTCTCTGGGTTGTTAACTGCCGCCGTCGCATGTCAGGAGTACTGCTGTGCGGCGCCAGGCAATAAATACTTACTTTTTATGCAAATTGTCTGAGATGGGCGCTACCACTAGGGTCGGACATGCTTACCTTTTTCGCGAACACCTGTTGTCCTCACTGATTGTCAGTGGTCCATTCATATAATGTTCACAGTTATTTTGAACTTTACGCGTTATGTTATCTGTTTCGGTGGATAATCTAGACAGGTTATTATTTTGCATTGACAAAACATGGGTTTTTTTTGTTTTTTTGTTGTTGTTTTTTTTTTTTTGGGGGGGGGGTTTCAAATCATTTTTATTCCAGTTTCAGTGGTTACAAACACAGTGATATATACATATATAGCATTATTAACATTTTGACACCGCATATTTGGAGGATATGCCTTGATCATGAAGGATCGAGCAAGATGTTCTGGCATGAAAGTAGTTAACACCATATTTATGAGCAATCGTAGAAAGATAAGCTAATCATAAAGGAATAAACAGTACCGAATTATAGTATTGTAATCCTTATCTTGGAAAAACATTACAGTCTTTCTTTGGCAATAGAGTCAAAGTGATTGGAAACAATCAATAATAACACACAGTCAGCAATCTATGTAAGATTCAAGGCATCATGTAAACCACAATACAATATCCACTTTTTGTTATAAGTGCTAAGCTTATTATTAGTTTTTGCTGACAGATATTCCAAATAAATAGCATCTTAAATACTTGTTTAAAAACGTCCAATGAGGGTTTCCTTTTCTTTAAACTAGAAATAAAAATGTGTCTCTTAACTAACATAATAATATGATTATTTGCAGGTTTTGCACTTATTTCACCAAAACATACATTAAATCTTGTAAAAAGTATATGATTATTTCCCACAGAATTCAGGAAAGCCTCCAAGTTTTGCCAGAATTCGAACACATATTCACAGTCATAAAATACATGCATCAAGTTTTCTTTCTCTATCTTGCAAAATTCACATAAATCATCATCGACAAGTTTCACTTTATAAAGTTCTTTTTTTTGTATATATCATTCTATGCAGAAATCTAAATTGAAAATCTATCGATTTTACATCTCTAATGTCTTTTCTAAAAGAGACAAAAAAATTAACCCATTCTAAGCATTCACCAAGTTCAATTTCCCATTTCTTACATATTTTAGGTTGTGAGTCAGAAGAAATAAGTTTATCATAAAAGAGTCTTGAACCTTTTTTACAAATCAATAAGTCCTGATAACAAGGAAGAATATACATGTCAAAGTATAAATCTACATCAAAATGTTTTTTAATTGCTGTTTTCCAATTGAAATAAGCTGAACATAATGCAAAAAGGTCCCTTTAATATTGTATCTTTCTTTTAGAATTTGAAATGGAATAATCTATTTCCCTGACAAATATGTTTTAGGGACCAAATATCCTTATTATACCAATCTTTTATGAAAAACTTTGGGGAATTTAAGTAGTGGTTTAACCATAATGGTTGATTCATAATGTTTTCAATAAGAGAAAGGTCTAATTCATATTTTCCAAAATATTCACACCAAGCTTTAATAACATCGTTCCAATAAGGGTTAGAAACTTTTGTGTAAATAAAAGCATTTGAACCTAATCTTAGTAAATCTTTTACTGGAATGTCATATTGTTGACATTTCTGATGTTTAATACATTTACTTAAAAAGGAGATTTTTAGAGATTTCACAAAAGTTTTAATATCAGGCATTCTTAGTCCCCCATTTTTATATTCTCTCTTAATATTTTCTCTTTTATTTTATCTGTTTTTCCGTTCAAAAGAAAATAAAAAAATATTTTATCTAATTTCTTAATAAAAGCATCGGGCGGATTTGGAATGCCGTGAATATGTGAACTAGCTGTGGTAAAGCAAGTGTTTTAATAACTGTAATTTTCCCAATTAGTGTTAAATGCCCTTTTCTCCAGTTTGCTAACAGTTTAGTGATATTTTCTAATCTTTTACGAGTATTGATTACCCACAAATCCTTCAATTCCGGGTTAAGAATAATACCTAGAACTTCAAAGTCTCCAGTGTGCCACTCCAAGTTGAGCTGATCACATATTTTTAATCTACTCCCAGCGAGGGCGCCTATTCATAAAGCTTTTGACATATTCATAACATATTTATGATTATTTTAACTATATTTCTATGTAATTCATAGGTTATTGTTGATGGTGATAAGATGGAGATGCATTCTTTAGGGATGCCCCAAGGGAATAAATGTGGGTTCGAATCCCAGATTCGCGCTGATAATGGTTCTGGGATGGTCAGCACCCGTGCTCTTGAGTTCAGCAAAGTGGTGAACGTCTAAGACCTGCATCTCTTCAGGCATTCTCCATGCTGATACATCGTTACGTCCGGTTTAACTAATAATGATATACAATAACACGTCCCGTTTTACATGTGGAGCCTATTTGTCGAGCAACTCTGCTCGTTGTGACCCCCTCGGGCATCTAAACTAGTGTCCAAAAGTGAATTGTCTAGTATGAAAACATGCCAATTCGTATTGCACATCCCAAACACAGCATAGTCGATAAAAAATACCGGGAACACGTGATCACTTCCGGGAAAAAACGTAAATTTCGTGAAAGTGACATTTCCCTCTCTTACATGTTCTGCACGTGCATAAAAACTGTATAAAACGGCTGATCAGACACGTTGATATCACAGCAACAAAAAGAACACAAGATATGCCACGTTTGACAGCCATCGAGAGAGAGAGAGCCGTTGGAATGGTCCAACAAGGAGAGTCACACGTCGACGTCGCCAGAAGGTTGGGCTGCGCACGCATCACTATCACCAGGTTGATGCAGCGGTTACGTCAGACAGGTCAGACGTCAGACAGGCCCAGGAGTGGAAGACCACGAGTAACCACGCCCCGTGAAGATCGTTACATCCGGGTATTACACCTGAGGAACCGCACCGTAACAGCGACGTCCACGGCGGCTACAGCACTGGGACACAGGATCAGTCGACAGACCGTCTACAGGAGACTACGGCAGTATGGTATCCGGCCACGTCATCCCTACCGCGGACCGCTCCTGACGCCTCGACACTGGAACAACAGACTGATCTGGGCCAGGCGAGTTCGACGTTGGCAACGGCGGGACTGGGCACGTGTTATGTTCTCTGATGAGAGCAGATTCCTCATCTTCAGAAACGATGGACGGCAGCTTGTATACCGACGATTTGGTGAACGTTTGGCGCCTTACTGTATGCAACAGGTCCGGCCGTTTGGAGGTGGAGGGTTAATGGTTTGGGGTGGCATATGTGGTGACGTCAAAACGATGCTTGTCGTAATTCGTGGAAACCTGAATGCACAGCGTTATCTTGATGACATCCTACGGCCTGTTGTGGTGCCCCTTATTCAACAACAGCCTCGTGGACTCCTTTTCCAACATGACAATGCAAGGCCACACGCAGCAAGATTGACACAGAACTTCCTTGCCAACGCCAACGTACAGGTTTTGCCATGGCCCGCATGTTCACCGGACATGAATCCCATCGAGCACTTATGGGAACACCTCGATCGGCAAATCCGACGTCGTCGTGTGCCTCCAGTCAACGTCCAGGACTTGGAACGATGTCTCCTCGAGGAATGACAACGCATCACTCCCAACGTCATCAGTCCGTAGGCGTGTTCTGGCATGTATTGATGCTCACGGTGGACATACCCGCTACTGACTTGACTTTGAGACGTGTGGTGTGACATTTCCCGTTGTTTCTGTGATCAGTGCTCTAACGAAATGTTCATTTTTCGACCCCACCCATCTTTAAAGGCTTGTCATATTGGTTGTACAGATTTTATTGAAATGAAATTTTTGTACAGATGTTGTGAAAGGATTTCTCAAAAGCATAACACCGATCCTAAACTTCTGCATTGTTTAGTTTTTCTTTTATGTCGTTGCAAACAGGTGGTATCGTTTCTTTTGGACACTAGTTTATATCCACACATGGCAACATGCTTGTCTCAGGGCTTCATAGTAAGAAAATAACTAAATTTGGGTCAATAACTGATTTTGATGCCCAAAACACATTTCTTGGTTTTGTAGAAATATGAAAGTAAAGTATTGAAGGATGAAATGCAAATATAAATACAAATATTATTAAACAATAAT